AGGAACTCTCTCTAGGCCCTTCATATGTGTCACAAAACATGGTAGCAAATTAAAGCAGTGTATGTAAGTTGACAGTGTGCCATGGTATGGTATGCATTTTGAAGAGGCCCTTTTGTCATAGACAGCTCTCCAGAGTAGCTGTCACTGTTGCATTGGTATTTTGAAAACCCGGAGCATTGCCTTTTCAATGGCCATCCCAGGAGGGGTGGGGGAGGGTGTAGATGGACCAGGCTGTGAGCACATCAACTACACTCATGCCCAGCTGTGATATGCTAGGCGTAAGCTTGAGCCTCAGGCAGCTTTGTTGAATAGAGCTTAGATAGGGCTTGGCGAAACCTGTTTTAATTTGTCCACACACCATTATTGTGCCCAGAGCCTAAGCTCAGCTACACGTCACTTAATCCCCACAGACATGCTCCACCCATGTGCAGTGACCCCCAGGATAATTGTGGGGCCGACCTCTCATGGGAAACACTGCCAATAAGCGCTTTCTTGGCACTGGAGAGATAGATGTCTCAGTGTTAAGTGGGTACTGCTCTTGCACAGGACCTGCGTTTACTTCCAGCACCCACAGTTCATGGCTCACACAACCACATGTAATTACAGCCCCAAGGGGCCAACACCCAACATGACTGCTGGGGTACCCACACACATGTGCACAACACAGAAAGACAGAATTAAAATTAAATAAATCTTTTTTAAAAAGCTGGTAATTTCCACTGGGCATGATCTAGACATTCAGAACTATGCAGATGCCCGCATATTTCTAGTGCTGACCTGGGACACTACAGTGCTCTTTCCTCCTGTTGCCCTGATTCACGGGAAGCATTTTAGAATTCCTTGTTCTAAGTCATTCTGCTGTTCAGTGAGCCTTAAAGTTCTGCCATCCACCCCACACACGACTATCTTCAAAATACTGAAGAAAAAAAAAAAAAGAGGCTATGGAGATTGCTTGGTGGTTAAAATACTTGCCACACAAGTGTGAGGACCAGAGTTTGGAATCTTGGTATCCATGCAAAAGCTGTGGCCCAGCTGTAATCCCAGCCTATAGGAGGCAGAGACGGGATCCAGCAAGCTCTGGGTTCAGTTATGAGACCCTGCCTACCTCAAGATATTAGGTGAAGACCAATGGAAGATATCTGGTATCAAGAGACTTAGACAAAGAGTGATCGTGCAGGACACTCTGGCTTCTACCTGCACAAGCACACACATGCATGCATGTCCATACAAACACACATGTACACCACACACAAGGAAAAATGTTTAAGTTGAAAAAAAGAGAACTAATGTAGTACTCCCTCCAAAATGATTCTCTGCCCTATTTCCCCAGGCCTGGGCTTAAGACTGTTACCAGCTAAGCTTCCTGGTCTCAAGTAAAATTAATGAGTGAGCCGATGGCACACTCCTATGTTCCCTGCATGGGTCACCGAGTCACTGGAAGCCCAAGAAAGATGTCTCATTAAAGCAACCGAAAGTCAGAGCTCTTACTTTGTCAATGTGTGGTCATGGGAAACTCTTTAGCGTGAATGTAAGTGCGGTAATGACATGCATATGCCTACCTGCACATCTGTACTGTCAAGTGAGATGAGCCCTTGTAAAAATTTAGTAACGGCAGCTCAGCTCCTCTGTGCCTAGACTAGTGATTCCCTGCAGTAGGCAGCCCCCACCCTGGGAACATTTGGGAAAGTCTGAAATGCTTCTTTTCTTAATATTTATGCGCTCTGTGTGTGTGTGTGTGTGTGTGTGTGTGTGTGTGTGTGTGTGTGTGTGTGTGTGTACATTATGTACATTTAGTGCCTGCATAGGACAGAAGAGATCAGATCCCCTAGATCTGAGTTACAGGCAGTTGTAAGCTGCCATGTGGGTGTCTGGATCCAAAATTAGGTCTTCTGAAAGAACAGCACATGTTCTTGATGGCTGAGACATCTCTTCATGCCTGACTCAAACATTTCTGTCAGGACAGGTAGGTGTCCTGCTAGTATGTGAGGATAGCACCCTCCACAATGGAGTCATACACCTCAATGTATCAGTCATTAGTGCCAATGGCAAACAGCACTGCTCTGCAGTCCTAAAGCCAGCTGTGTGTGACAACCCAGAAGATCACCTACAGTGTTTTTTACCCCAAACATTGTCCCAAATCAAAATTCAGATTATTTTGGTTCATTATGATTTAAAGCTATCTCTGGGACAACCAACAAGCTCGTATGTTTTTCCAGCTCAATGGGTAGACCTGATGGATGCTGAGACTCCCCTGTTGCAGTTCATGTTAGGGCGATATAACCTGAGCCATTTCCCTTTAGCATCAGATGTTTGCTACTGAGGTTCAGTTTTGTAAACTGGAAGACATTTGGTACTCAGTATTGGCTTCCTCAAGCCACCACCATAGGAGAGCATTGGTGTCCATTTTCCATTCAACCTCTGGTGGTAGGGGCGGCAGAGAGAAAAGGAATGGGAAAGTCCATCAAAGCAAAGGAAGTATTGGACAATGGAATGGGTCATGATGGGCAGAGGGCATCCCACTGGATGAAATGCTTGCCATTTGAGCATAAGGACCAGAGTTCAGATCCCTGGCACCCATGTAAATAACAGGCAAGCACATGATGGCCCACCTTGTACTCCAGGACTCAAAAGGTGACCCCAGAACAAGCTAGTTAGCTAGACTGGACAGCTCTGGCTTCACTGGAGAGATCTTTTCTCAGTGAATAAACTAATCATGACTGAGGAAGACTCTGATCTGAGGTGAGTCTCACACACGCAGGCATGCACACAACACACACACAGAAAATATGTTCTTGATCATAGAATAGTGAAAGGAATGGACCTTAAAGTAAAAAGCAATAATAAAAATCCTAGGCTCAAGTTTTGAGGCAGTTGGCCTATCCCTTTAGCCTATGTTCATAGCTACTGACTCACCCAAAAGCCTAAGCTGGTGCCCCTTCCTGCTACTAGAAGGGCCGTGTGCTAACCTGGGTTCTTTGAGTGGGTGTGCTTTGATTTGTTTTTTATTTTTTCAGGAGCTGGTTCTCACCTTCCACTTGTGGGCAGGACCTTTCTTGTTTCTGCTACTGCACTGAATACTATAGGCTGGTTGACCCTAGAAGCTCCCAGGCAATTCTGTCTCTGCTTCCCATATTACAGTAGCTGGAGTTATAGATGTATGCTCACAGATGATGTGTGTGTGTGTGTGTGTGTGTGTGTGCGCGCGTGCGTGCACGCGCGGGATGTTCTCAATGCCTTTACCAGCTGAGCTATTTCCCTACCTTATTTGTTCTTTTTTTTTTTTTCTTTTTTTTTTTTTTTTTTTTTTTTTTTTTTTTTTTGAGACAAGGTCTCAAGTAGCCCAGACTGGCTCCAAACTTTCTATGTAGTAGGTGATGACCTTGAACATCTGGTCCTCCTGGCTCCAACTCCCCAGAGCTGGGATTACAGACATGCATTACCAAGGTCAGTTTATGTATTGAGAAGCAAACCCAGGGCCTCATACATGCTAAGAAAGCATTTTGCCAGCCTAAGCTACATCCACAAACCTTGTACATCCACATTTCTGGAAACTCAGCCCCTGCCCTGTTCACCCTACCCAATTCTTTTCCGCTTGTAGCCAGTTGTACCTCCTTCCCCTGTGAAATCCAAGAGTAATGATGATTCAAAGGCTCCCTTCAGTCTCTGAAAGTCCTTCTGAGCCCCCCCCCCCACACACACACACCTCTTTGCAGAACTCTGGTTCTCAAACTAGTCTCAAGAATTCTGCACAGAGGCTGCCTCGCTGGTCGGGTGCCCAGAAGCACCTTGTCAATGTTGATTCTAGGACAACATGCTTGCTTTTGCTCCTGGCAAAGACTAATGGTTTGCTTATGAACATAATAGCTGCCATTTATCAAACATCTCCCACGTGCAAGACAGTGTTCAGTCCCTGACGTGATCCAGTTCCTGCTAACAGTCTGTAAAGTCAGTCATAATAGCATGCCCCACAGGTGACAAAACAAGACTCCAAATTGTTAAGTCATTTGTCTTGGGTCACAACTTACATTGGTTGAGTGAGATCTGTACCCATGGATGCTGTGCTCAGAGCCCAGCGTCCCCCATTTCCCGTGGACTCCTTCCTGTCAGCTGTGCCATACCAGTGTTAAGGAAAGAAGCAAGAAGATCGCTGCAAGCCCAAGGCCAAGCCTGGTCTAAACAGTGACTTTCAGGCCAGCCAAGACTATTTAACAAGACTCCATTTCAAACAAAGAAACAAAAATCATAATTACTTATAACCCTTGGTTGTGGGGCAGGTGAGAGGTTGTTTTGTTTTGTTTTGTGTTTTTTTTTTTTGACTGATCTTATATATGCTAGACTGGCTTCAAACTTGTTATGTAGCTGAGGGTGATCTTGAACTTCTGATATTCCTACCTCTATCTCCCAAGAGCTGAGATTTCAGTCAGGCACATCACCACCCTGGCCCATGTACGTGGTGCTGAGGGTTAGACCTAGGGCTTTATGGATGCTGTGTGAGTGCGCCCTACCACCTGGACCATATGCTCTGCCCAGTCCAGTGCTTTGTTTTTGTTTACCATTCCCAAAAGTGTGTTTCTAGGGGAATGCCATCAGTGATGCTGCAAGAGATGGAGTGGACCAGGCAGGCCCTCCCTTTGGGAGTCTGTTCTATGGTGATCCATCTTACTCCATACCGAGAATAAAGAAAGCTTGGGCCTCTCAGATAGGTTGTTTGAAGGTGGTGATCATTGTATCCATCCCTTCCCTCACTAAAAAGCTTAGCTGAGTTGTTTGTCGTCTTGCCGCTGGTGATGGGATGGTGGTAGCAGAGTGACTATAGATGTCTGCTGTGCCATATTCGAATCACGTGGCAGTGGAGGCGATGCCTCTCTCCAGGGCCTGTGGGCTTGCAGCTGTAGGCCTCCCATATGGCTGGTGACCTCCCTGCCAGCCCTTTCTATACTTGTCCTGGTACTTGAGAGACTTCATCTCAACCTGCTTCATGTTTTCTGTCCCCTGTGCAGTACCTGCAGATGAAATGGCCCCTCCTTGATGTCCCCTCCAGTGCTACAGTCAAGGATACAAGATCACCATCTCCAGCACACTTGGTGAGTCTGTTTTACCAGTCTGGGCCCCTGCCTCTGACTCCTTCTCACCCTCAGAAGCTTCCTAAGTCTGTCTCCCCGTGTCCTACTTTTCTTGCTATGCTAGAATAGCTAGCTGACAAGGGCGACTTAACGAGGAAGGGTTTGTTTGGCTCACAGTTTGGTGGGAGTGGCTGTCTGGTGGGGAAGCCATGGTTGCAGGAGTGTGAGGAGGCTGCTTACTCTGCACCCACTGTCAGGAAGCAGAGAGTGATGGATGCTGGTGCTCAGCTCATTTTCTCCTTTTTGTTCAGTCTGGGGATCCTGCCCGTTGGATGGTGCCTCCCACATTCCGGGTGAGTCTTCCCTCCTCGGTTAAATCTTTCTGGAAACACTCTCACAAACACACCTGGAGGGTGTTTCTATGGTGATTGTAAATCCAGGCAAATTGACAATGAAGATTAACCCTCACACTGTGTGGGCACAGTCAGGGGTTAACAAAGAGGTTATGTCTTAGACAGCCTCACCTTTTTGTCCACCTCAGCACATAGGCTCGCACCACCTGGAATGCTTGATTGAAGACACATGGCCCTGGCCATTAACCTTGGTTCTTCCTGGACACCTGCTTCAAATCCTTCTCCACTTCCTATGAACAAGGAGTTCTTTCTGTCCAGTTGGTGCTCATTCAGAACACCTCCTCTTCTCCCCATAGCTGCAAGGCTGCAGTTAAAGAGGCTGTTCTCTACCAGCTGTTTCAGGGACGCATCCATTAAAACATGGACAATGGCTCCTCAGCACAGCCGAGGAAAGGGGAGACGGTCTTGGGAGACAAGGGCAATGGGGTCCCAGCAGGACTTCTCACCTCCTCCTGACATAGGAATGAAAAAAAATGTTGCTGGACTAGAACCCTTGCATTCCATCTCCCAAGAAGCAAGCAAGGCTCCGAGTGGGTGCCTGCCAAACTATCTGGTGACTATCTCAGAGTCATAGAGTACCTTCACCTGTGTCAACCTGTCTACTTTACAGACAGGAGACTAGGGCTTCCTCACTGCCGGCCATGCTAGCTATGAAGCCGCAGGAACCCTTAGTGATTTTTGAAGCTTTATTAGAGACAAATCTAAAGATCTACAAAAGCAGACTATATTATATAAAATGAACTCCCGTATGGCCACCACTCCCATTCCCCCCTCCTGCCACTCTTTATTTTACAGCAAATCCCAGACCTATTATTGTCTCACACAGGACTTTTTAAGATATACTGATAATCCTAGCTCATTAAAAGCTTAGAGGCTAGCTGAGAGGAAGAAGATGGTACAGAGAATATAAATAGAGGTGCGGTGAACTTGTGTGGTTTCCAACAATCACTGGACCAGCTTCGACTAGTAGAGCCCTTGGTAGTTTACAACATGATGTCATGTGTGGCTTTCAGATTACTGTCGCAGCCATCTGTCAGAAGGTGGACAGGAATAACCACATAGGGCAGAGCCAGCCACCCAGGGTAGGCTGTCCTAAAACATGCAAGGACCTAGTGGCGGGTTCTGTGTCTTGCCACCAAAGCGCTGAACAGTTGTGCCAAGAATGGGCCCCAAGGTCCTACTTGGGATGGTGAGCATGAGGAACAGATGCCCTCTGGTGGCTTCAATCAATCAGACATAGTGAAGGAGCTTCAGTCCTGACCCATTTAACTTTCTCTCAGTGTCTCCCCCGCTGCTTACTCTCGCCCACCCTGGAACCTCCTGCAGCAGACCCCAAAATGTCGGGGTTTGCTGCCCTCTCAACTTTCCAGAGACTATCTTTTCACAGGATCCTTTTTAGGGACATGATTTCAAATCTAGCACATATTTCTGGGTGTCGCATCCTCCCTGTGAGCATCACCCTACTTGCCTTCTAACACAGCCCAACTTCCCACGCTTCCGTTGTCATGTCTTTCCTGTCAACCCGTGGCGGCCTGGCTCAGCTCTAACTGCCATGCTCAGTCATCTCCTTGCTTTCTAGGCACCACCTAGGTGACATTTGACAGTGTTGACCACGCCCACCTCCTTGGCTCCAGGACACTATCATAGTAATACTGATATTGGCTCTTGGCCTTTTTCTTTCTAGTTCCTTTCCCTCAAATAAACCATCTGCTCATGGCTTTCTCGGGGTGACAGAAAAGTGTTGGAAATTTCCTAAACTCTCAGGGAGCTTCTTGCAGTTGCAGCTGCCAGTCATCTGTCCCCTGCAGCTGAGTGCTCTGGATATCATATCACAGTGCAGGAGGGAAGCAGACAGCCTTTTTTTTTGTCTGAGAGCATACAAGCATGGACTGTTGGTACATATTGCTTTATAGATGGCAAAGTGGACAATTTTCCCTAAATTCCATATTATCATACTCAATATTCTAATATCGCAGAGCAGAAACAGACCTCAATCCCAAGGAAGCCAGAGAGATGGCTCTGCAGACACAGGTGCTTGCTGCCACAGCTGATGGCTTGAGTTTGATCCCTAGGACCTACTTAGCAGTAGAGAGCTGACCCCTGCAAGTTGTCCTCCAACCTCCATAAGCAAACCAGAGAGAAGAAATGTAATTTTAAAAAATCTGGATGGGCTGGGCATAAACAGGCAGATCTCTGTAAATTTTAGGCCAGCCAGGGCTACAAAGGGAGAGCCTGCAATAAATTAAATTAAATAGAAGTAAACAAATCAAAACCTGAATGTTAAAAACAAAAAACAAAAAAACAAACAAACAAAAAAAAAAACTAAGGCACACAAGGGGAACTCCCTTAATATGAACTGGAGCTCAGCAACTCATCCAAACTGCTGAGAGTGGAGGACCTGAGGGGTCTGGGGAGGTGGTGGTGGTGGTGGGCAGGGACTGTGAAACACTGTAGATTTAAGACTCTGGCTTTGCTTCCTTCTCGAAGCTTTAGGCCAATTACCTCATCTCTCTTTGCCTCAGTTTCCTCATCTATTAAATGGGGATTAGAGGAACACTGATGTCATAGAGTGGTACCGAAATGAGGCTCTGTGTTGTAATGAGTTCAGCATTGTGCCCAACACAAAGTAACTCTTCACTAACGGTTAGCTTTCCAAACCATCACCACACCACACCATCGTTGCCACCACTGCTGCTGCCATCGCTATTGTTAGGAAATTAAGAGAGGGAATGAACAATTAACATCCCATTTAATTAGCAGAACTAAGAGGTAATGAGGGCCTGAATTAGGTGCCAAAACAAATGGGCAGATTGTGAAGGTAATAGAGATAATGAGCCCATCGAACTTAACATCTTAATCCCCCAAGGATATGATTTAATTGGGCTGGGGTGGGGCTGGTATCGTAGATTTTTAAGCTCCCCACGGCGACTCTAAGGGGCAGCCAGAGTTGAGAATCATTCCCATAATTGCAAATCAAAGACAGGAGGCAGGGGAAAGAGGCTCCCAACATCCCTAATGACTTACCATGACTCCTTGTCAAGCCAGAGGGTGTGAGCAGAACCAGAGGTTTCTTAAGTCGCAGTCACAGAACTTGGGGCATTGTTTTTTCTTTTCTTTTTTAATTAGAGAAATGAAAACACTCTAGATTATGAAAATTTAGCTTAGATCAGAAGTAAAATATTTGAAGACGTTTGCCCAGGGAGGAGGGCCAATGAAGAAAATAGGCTACATACTTGCAGAGATTTGGTGAGTCATGTGGAGTCCGTCAGGGAAGGGTGTCCAAACAAGTCATAACCTGGCTGTGATGAGCGGAGGCGGGCCTGAGAGGTACTATTACTTCCATTTACACCTTTAAAGCAAGCTCTGGGCAAAAAGCAGGAAAATCGCCTCTGTTGCTGTTTAACTTTCCTGCTTTGCTTTGTCATAAAAATTTTATTTATTTATTTATTTATTTATTTATTTAGTTAGTTAGTTAGTTAGTTTTTCTGGACAGGGTTTCTCTGTATTGTTTTGGAGGCTGTCCTGGAACTCACTCTGTAGACCAGGCTGACCTCACACTCACAGAGATCCACCTGCCTCTGCTTCCCAAGTGCTGGGATTAAAGGCGTGCACCACCAACACCCTGCTAAAGATCTTATTTTTACTTTTTGTGCTTGAGTGCTTGCCTTCCTGTCTGTGCACCTACTTGATGCCTGAGGAAGACATAAGAGGGGGGTCAGATCCACTAAAGCAGTGGGTCTCAACCTGTGAGTCACAAATCCTTTGGGATCGAATGACCCTTTCATAGAGGTCACCCAAGACCATTTGAAAACCCAAAACTTTCCTGGTGGTGGTGGTGGCAAAAGCCTTTAATCCCATCACTTGAGAAGCAGAGGTAGATGAATCTCAGTGAATTTGAGGCCAGCCTGGTCTACAAGGTGAGTTCCAAGACAGCCAGAACTGTTAGGATGAGGAGGAGGAGGAGGAGGAGGAGGAGGAAGAGGAAGAAGAAAATGCATATATTTACATTGCAATGAAACAATTTTATGGTTGGGGTCACCACAACATGAGGAACTCTGTTAAAGAATTGCAGCATTAGGAAGGTTGAGAACCACTGCCCTGGAAATAGAGTAACAGATGGTTGGTTGTGAGCCACCATGTGGGTTCTGGGAACTGAACCCAAGTCCCCTGCAAAAGCAGCCTGAGCTCTTAACCACTGAGCCATCTCTCCAGTCCCCTGTGTAACTATTTATGATATTTGATTACCATGATCTCACTGTGTGGGGATGATTGTGCTGACCCCCACACTATCCCCTCCAACCCTGACCCTGTCTTTTTTCACCACTCTTCCCAGAGTGCTGAGCAAAGAGAAAAGAAAATCTGCTTTGTTCAGAAGCATTTACCCTGCATCTTCCGTATTCACAAGGAGCGTTTGTTAAGTGAGTGAGTGGCAAATGGCTATGAGAAGGCGGGCAGTCCTCCTATTACTTCTCTTACTCCAGGGTCATCTCCCTCTTCTCAGAATGGTAAATGTAATGCATGAGTTAGGTGTGGGAGCGTATGCCTACTGTAATCCCAGCACCTGGGAAACTGAGGCAGGAGACTCAGAAGTTCATAGCAAGGCCTTGTCTCAAAAACACAAAAATATAAGAAGGAATTGTGTACACTGAATCTCTTGAGAAAGTGCCAAAGGGCATAGAAGAAAGACAGCTGGCATATGTACTGCTATATAGCATGTCTTGTGTGTGTGTGTGTGTGTGTGTGTGTGTGTGTGTGTGTGTGTACAGGCATTCACTACTATGCTTGGTTTTGAGGATCTGAGGATTGAATTCAAGGCCCCTTCACGCTCAGCTAATAAAGGCACCTGCCACCAAGTCTGACGGCCAAAATCCATGTGGTGGAGGGAGAGAGGGATTCCCAAAAGTTGGCCTCTGATTTCCATACACATGCATACACTCACA